GTCCCCCAGACAAGCCATGGCTCTGTCCCACACCCTACCTTGCCCTGGCTGGGCAGTGCCTGCCCCAGCCCTACTTCTTCCCTCACTGCAGGGGCCTTGATCTGTCCCCCTCCATGCCCCTTCTCTCCCTTTTCCCCTTCCACCACAACAAACTTACCAGCTGGCTGCAGCTCTTCAAGCTGCTGGGCTGTGTATTGGAAACTGGATCAGTATTGGTCAATAAGCCTCCTTAAAAATTGGCTATCGGTATCGGGCCCTCAAGATCTGTCAGTGCACTCTTGATAAATTGGAGAGAGGATCCAATATCAACACGATGAAATTTAATAAGGATAAATGCAAGGTTGCATGCTTGGGAAGGTGAATTCAAATGCACAGATGCAAAATGGGAAATAATTAGCTAGACAAAAGTATGGTAAAGGGATCTGAGAGCTAATAGTGAATTACAAACTGAGTCCCTGGGGACTGGAAGAAGGCCAGTGTTGGGCCCATCCACAAGAAGGGCAGGAGGGAGGAGCTGGGTAACTATACGTCAGTCAGCCTAACTTCCATCCTAGGGAAAATCCTGGAAAAGTTCATCAAGGAGTCCATCTGTGATAAGCTTGCAAAAGGTAAGATTCTGATTGACAGCCAGCATGGCTTCGTTACGAGCAGGTCTTGCCTTGCCAACTTCATCTCCTTCTATGATCAGGTAACTCGCCACCTGGACGCGAGAGAGTAGGTTGACACTATATACCTTGACTTTCAAAAGGCCTTTGATCTAGTATCCCAAGATGTCCCCACAAGAAAATTGGAGGACTGTGGGCTTAACTCCGAGACAGCAAGGTGGGTGAGAAACTGGCTGCAGGATAAGACCCAGAGAGTTGTAGGGAATGGATCTGTGTCATCCTGGTAAGAAGTGGGCAGCAGTGTCCTGCAGGCATTGGTGCTTGGTCTAGTACTTTTCAACATCTTTATTAACAATTTGGATATGGGAGTGAAGAGTTTACTGGCCAAGTCTGCGGACAACACGAAGTTATAGGGAAGCATGGTCACGCTTGAAGATAGGCTGCAGATGTAGGTGGACCTAGATGGGCTGGTATGTTGGGTGGATCAGAACCCGATGTAGTTCAACATTGAGAAATGTAAAGTGCTCCACCTCGGGACGAGCAACCCCCAACACATCTACAGGCTGGGGCCACCAAACTGACTAGCACCACAAATGAAAGGGACCTGGGGATCATAATAGACCACAGTATGAATATGAGCCGGCAGTGCAATGCTGTAACCAGTGGGGCAAATAATACTGTGGCATGCATCAATGGATGCATCTCCAGCAAAGCCGAGGAGATGATTCTTCCACTCTATTCAACGCTAGTGAGAGCACCACTACAGTACTGCATCCAGTGCTCGGCAGCACACTTTAACAAGGACGTGGACAAGGTTGAGAGAGTCCAAAGAAGAGCCACCCGTATGATCGGAGTCTTAAAATGCAAGCCATACGAGGAAAGGCTGAGGGATCTGGGACTCTTCAGCCTGAGGAAAAGAAGGCTGAGAGGGGACCTGGTAGCAGCTTACCCACTACACTAGGGGAGTACATCAAGGGCTTGCTGAGCAACTGTTCACCAGGGCACCCGATGGGAAAACCAGGAGTAATCGCCACAAACTCTTGGAAGATCAATTCAGGCTCAACATTAGGAAACACTTCTTTACAGTTAGGGTGTCCAGACTGTGGAATAAGCTCCCTGCAGAGGTGGTGCAATCACCTACCCTGGAAATCTTCAAGAGGAGACTGGACAGTCACCTTACTGGGGTCACCTGACCCCCAGTTATGTTTCCTGCTTGGTGTACCGGGTTAGACCCAATGATCTTCCAAGGTCCCTTCCAGCCTTGCAATGTATGAATTAACAAACTGGTCCTGTTACAAAAGAAAAAAAAAGGCAAGTTTCATGCCATTCCTGTATCCCAGATCATGCAATACCTGAAGGTATTATTCCACTCTGCACTGCATGGATGAATGCAGTGTTAAGAAAATTGTATCATTTTGCATGCCAGCTGTTCACCCCCACATCCAAATTGTTAATAAAGATGTTGAAAAGTACTGAGTGTCTCGGAGCTAAGCCCACAGTCCTCCAGTTTTCTCGCGAGGACATCGTGGATACTAGATCAGAGGCCTTTTGGAAGTCAAGGTATACAATGTCAACCTGCCCTCGTGTTCAGGTGGTGAGTTACTGGATCATAGAAGGATATGAGGTTGGTAAGGCAAGACCTGCCTGCGATGAAGCCATGCTGGCTTTTAATCAGAATTTTAGCTTCTGCAAGCTTATCACAGATACGCCTTGATGAACTTTTCTAGGATTTTCCCTAGGATGGAAGTTAGGCTGATTGGCCTATAGTTACCTGGCTCCTCCCTCCTGCCCTTCTTGTTGGTGGGCATAACTTTGGCCCTCTTCCAGTCCTCAGGGGCTTTTCCAGAGCTCCACAAGTTGTGGAACAACTTTGCCAGGGTTTCCACTGTAACTTCAGCTCACTCCTTTAGCACTGTATACATCTAATTTTATTAATTGTTCATACACTGATTCTCAATGGCAAGAGTAGGAAGGTGAGTATTCCTACTGTGCTCATCCTCTACTCCACCTGACGTGGTTTTCCCCTTGGTCTGGTGAAAGACTGAGGCGAAGTAGTCATTCAGAAGTTCAGCTTTCTCTTGGGTGCCAGTAACCAGCTCTCCTGAGTTGTTGAGCAGTGGCCCCACGCTCAGTTGTTTTACTCCTCTTCCCTATGTACCTAAAGAAGGGCTTCTTGTTGTCCTTGATTCCCATTGCTAATCTAAGTTCGGTCGCTACTTTAGCCTTTCTTACCTGTTCCCTGCAGATGCAGGCTGTTGTGGAGTAGTCCTCCTTGGGGCCTGCCCCAAGTTTCCATTGTTTATAAGCCTCTTTCTTCTTTCTTAAAAGGACCACAGTTTTCCTGTTTAGCCAAGAGGGCTTCCCAGCCCTTCTGTTACCTTTTCTCTGCACGGGAATGGACTTCGTTTGTACTTTAAGGATCATGTCCTTAAGAAACAACCACTCTTTGTGCACACCTTTCACCTTCGGTCCCTGGTCCCGTAGCATTTGCCCTACTAGTGACCTAAGCTTGTTGAAATTTGCATTTTTGAAGTCCAAGACTTCAGTCCTGCTATCTGATTTGTCTGCCTTACGTTGAACAGTGAACATCATGGTTGCTGTCACCCAGACTTCCCCCTATATTTAAGTCGGTCACCGGGTTGTCTCCTTTGGCCAGGCCCAAGTCTAGCAGAGTGTCACCTTTGATTCACCTGTGCACCTCCTGAGTCGGGAGGAACTCCTCAACACAGGTCAGGAAGGATCACGACCGTTCCATCTTGGCTGAGTGTTCTTCCCAGGAGATGTCTGGATAATTAAAATCACCCATGACGACCATGTCACGTGCACACGCAGCCTTAGTCAATTCTCAGGTGTACTCCAGATCCAGTTCCTCCCCCTGGTTTGGTGGTCTGTAGTATACACCTACAGTTAGGCCTCTCTTGCCATGCCCCCCCTTCCCCCCCCTTTTCCCTGCAAATTGACCCAAAGGGTTTCATGCTGTCCATTTTTGGAGCCGATGTTGGCCTCCAAGGAGGTGTACTGCTCTTTCACATAAAGAGCAATGCCTCTACCTTTTTTCCCCTACCCGGTCCCTTCTATGTAGGGTGTAGCCCTCTAGCTACACTCCAGTTGTGTGAGGAGTCCCACCAGGTCTCTCTAATCCCTACTAGGTCATAATGCCCACTGGAGAGTAGGAGGGCTAGCTGCTCCTGCTTGTTTCCCCATGCTCCTGGCATTAGTATAGAGGACTCATGCCTACTACTGAGGCTGTCGTCTTTCCGTCCTACTGATGGTGAACTATTCCCTCAGCTCCCGCAAGAGTGGCTTTCCCAGTGTCCCTATCTACTGGGCTTCTATGTTGGTCCCTGGACATGCTTGAATTTCTATATCCCAGTCCTCCAGCAATCTTAGTTTAAAGTTCTGTCCAAAAGATTGGCTAACTGGGACTTACCTTTTCTCGTGAGATGGATGCCATCCCTTCCCAGAAGTCCTCTCCCTGAAGTGTGCACCATGGTCAAGGAATCTGAAGCCTTCTCAGTGGCATCAGCATTGGAGTTGCTGGTTCACTTCCTTGATGCATCTTGTCCTTCTGGGACCACGACCTGCAACATGGAGCACAGAAGAAAAGACTACCTGGGCTCCCATCACCCAGAGCCCTGTAGTTGCTTATGACCTGGTCTGGATTACTCCTGGCCATGTCAGTAGTTCTCACATGGATGAGGAGCCATGGGGTAGTAGTCCCCCACCACCACCACCTTCCGCTGCCTCTTGTGGGTGGCAGCAAGCTGCTTACCTTCCTCTCCTGGTGTTGCCTTCAGAGCCTCCTCATGTGTGGGGAGGGGAACATACTGCTGTGCAGGGCCAGAGGAGGAGGAACCCTGGGTTTCCTGGAGGTATCTGTCTTCCAGGTCACTCCAGGTGGGTTTTCTTGGTTAGCCATCACGTTGGCTACCATCTCCATCTCTTCTTCCTTCTGGAGAAGGGTCTGGCAGTAGCCATCAATAAAGTTTTTGTGGGCCCTGATGGTCTGCAGCTGAAGTATCTCCTCCTCGAGCTCCCGTACCTGGCCTTCCAGAGATTCCACCAGGGAGCACACCCCACAAATGGGGGTGCCCCCATGCTCACTTGCCAGCAACCATGCCAGACAGCCCCGGCAGTCCAGGGGCTTGGGCTCTCTCTGGGTGAAGGTCTCAGTGATACCAGGATGCCAACAGGTACGGCAAGTCACCGCCATGGCTGAGAGCGATTGTGTGGTAATAGGCTATGCTACTACCCACAGACTGGCCTGCGAACTGCTTCCTCTGTTTGCAGTCCTATTTGCTGGCTCCTTGAGTCACAGGCTCCCTGGTCGCCTGGAGAATCTCCTTTTATACCATTCTGGGCCTGGGCTGACTCAGCCCCTTTGTTTGGGCTTCTGCCAGACCCAGGCAGCAATCGCACAGCAGTCAGCACTCACTCAGCAGTCAGCAGTCACTCCCAGTTTCTCAGATCACACACCCCAGACACAGCCCACCAAACACTCAGCAAAAACCAAAGGTACAGGCAGTTGGATCACTTCCCTTTCTTGGGCAGGATCTGGTGCCAGGCTTCTCTCTTGTCCTGTTTGCAGTCCTGTTTGCTGACTCCCTGGTTGCAGGCTGGTTCTGGCTCTCTTACTCATCTGGCTCATGGGGCCTAGTGAGATGGGCACCACTGTGTCAAATTATTACTGAAAATACTAAACAATACCAGGCCTAGAGCAGACCCCTGGGAACCCCCATCTGATACCTCTCCAAACTTGGATATTGAGCTATTTATGACTGTTCTTTGACCATGAAGATCCAACCAATTACATATGTACATTTACAAGCCCTTCATCTAGTCCAGTCATTCTCGACCAGAGTCCTTCAAAGGTGCTGCAGGGTGTGCCTGCTTCCATGAGCAAAAGAAAAAAATAGGAAGGTTAAGGCTGACAGAAAGTATTAGTTAACATCTTAAGTCTATGGATGTCGTGGTTTAATTACTTAAGGTTGACGTTGTCAAGGTTTTTAAAAATAATTTGTTATTTTTGTGTTCTTCTGAGTGCCCTACTTAACATTTTTAAAGGGTACCTGGTATCCAAAATCATAGTTCAGTTTTGAAAATCATGACCTATGTTTTTAGAGTGTCTCCTTACAGGCATTTGTATTGCCCAAGAGCTTGACTTTGTCCCCTTCCAAAGAAATTCCTTAAGCAAAAAAGCAACTTTCTGTTCTTCCCTATATTTTCTTATATTGGTCTACGTTTATATGATCTTGAGTATTTAAAATGCAAATTTTCTCACTTGCATTTCTCACTTTCTATTTTCTACTACTTCATTATCCTTCTTTAAATATATGTTTCAGATGCTGTTTTTGCAGGAGCAATGCCTACAATGGCAAGTATCAAGTTGTCTACACTTCGCCCTATTGTAAATCATCCCCATTATGAAGATGTGGGGCTGAGGTAAATTTCAAAATTCATACAATTTATTCCACTAAAATTAACTTTTAAAAACTTTTATAATGTTCAGTAGAAATGCAAATCATACTCAGCATTTTTAATTTAATTAGGATGTGATGGAGGTCTATGAAATCACGAAGGTATGGATCAAGTGAATAGGAAGCTTGTTTGTGAAGTCTCATGTATTAGATCTAGAGGGCAACTGCTGAAATTAGTAAGTGATAAGTCAAAAGCTAACAAGAAAACGTATTTTTTTACACATGTAGTTGACTTATGAAATTCATTGTCGCGGGAGGTGGTGGAGGCAAACAGCATAGCCAGGTTCAAAAAGGGACTGTATGAGTTCATGGATGATAGATCAGTTAATAGTTATTGGACAGGTTGGTTGGAGATATTTCCTCTAGCATCTCTTAACCCAATAAGTGGTGGATGCCAGGGAGGGTAAGGAATAGGGGATAGATCGCTCTAGAGCTCTTCAGTTCAAAGCTATCCGTGTAGAGTATCCACTTCTGCCACTGTTGAGAGAGAGGATACTGAGCTATATGGGCTGTTGGTCTTGAGCCAATACAACACTTCTTAAGTTCTATTTGTTGGGGTTTTTTAATCCTACAAAGTTCTAGAATTATTTTAAAGTCATTCTTTCAGAATTCAGACTTACTAACAATTTAGAGAATGATAGACCTCTGCAGGGTAGTGGATATAATAGGATTTTGCTACAGACTTGTCAATCAAAAACATGTGAGGTATAATTATGATAAAGACTACTTTGCTTTGGATATTGCCTTCACTTATAGCAATGTTGATTAAGTTGGGAAATGCTTACAGTGGTTGCAATTTTGCAATTTCTTTTTTACCAGATCATTTCACGTGGCTTTTGAAGTCTTATTTTGTTTTTCATGGAATTTAAAAAAATCTGAACTCTTGTAAATGTGTGTCTAATATTCACTTATTTTAGCTTAAGTTGATAAACTTCTATGTTATGCCAAAGTAGAATGACAACAATGCTTTGTAATTCTATCTTGAGGAGAGACGATAAGGGTTTAGTGATAATTGCATGCAAGCATCTGCATATTTATTTTCCTGCCAGCCTTACACAGTCAGCTGGAAGGTGACAAGGGACATGCATGCTGTGTACTTCCACTTCTAGAAGTAATACAGATGCAGTATTGGATGCTTTCAGTTGAAGAGGTGCATGCTATAATTATAATCTCCAGAATTTGGGTTAACCAGAGAATGATGGAGCTTATTTGAACTGGAGAACATATGAGTTGCTTTGGGTTATTTATGGTATGGTGTAAAAACAAACAAACAAAAAACAAAACAAAAAAAAGGCAAACTATCTGAATGCATATAAATTACTTCCAGGATTCTCCATTTAATCTTTCAACTGTGCATGGTGTCAGAATTATGTTTTGAGAAAAACCTCAAAATATTATTTTCCTTTATTCTTTGATTACAAAATGATAAGCACAGAACTGAAGTAAGGATTTTGTGGAGATCATTCTAAATGGATTATTGAATAGTTTCTGTATCTTTGGCCATTGACCAAGCTTTTTATATGGGAAGTATGTTCTGTAAGGTTGCATGATTATATATGTAAATCTAGTATATTAAAGGACCATACATGTAGGCTTTGCTTTTCAGTGGTAATCTCCCAGCCCTCTAGTCTTTGAATTTAACATGATCTTAATTTAGTTTAGTAGGAAAAGGAAAGAAATTAAAATTGGGGTTTCTTTTTATAAAACTAAAAAAAAATCATTTTCCTGCTAACATGGACTTGCAAATTCTACTTTCATTAAACCAAAATTAAATTTATCTAAATTTGCATGCATCCTGATTTAAGTGAAGTTAAAACAAGATGCCTGAATGAAATCTTCCCTGAACATATTTGCAAGAATAGGCTTAATTTTACCAGAAGATAATTGCTTCCCTTAAAACACTGATAATACAGTAGGTGTGAAATAATGGGCTGTAATTTTCCTTGGATCATGTCCATAAGAATGGGCTCTTGTTTTTGGAAACTTTCCAGAATCAAGTTGATACACTTCCTTTTTATTCCTGCCAATGAATATTGATTGTTAAACATTAAACATTATTGACTTGAAATGTTTAGCATGTGGATCCCCAAGAGCTATAGATTTTAAAAGTAGCTGAATGCAGTAGCAGGAGGGGTACATAAGAGGTGCACTGATATATCACTCCAGTTCATATTGGCACTGATAAAAGGAAAATTGACATTATCTCAGTCGGCTTTTTTGGCTGATGTGGCCAATAATGTTGCCGATAAATGCCATGTGCATGTGCCAAGCTGCAGCATGCACGTGGCCAGGTGTACAGCCGGCAGCTTGGAAAGCAGCATCCAGCCTGTAAGTCTGTGAAGGGGAAGAAGCAGGGGGAGGGAAGGAGTGTGGGGGCAGATCAAGGCCCCTCCATGGTGAGGAAGGGAGTCAGGCTGGGGCAGGCGCTGCCGGACTGGGGTGGAGCATGAGAGAGAGCTGTGAGTGGCTTGTCCGATGGGGTGCACACCCTAGGGGAAGCACTGGGGTGGGGGGGGCGGCACATGCCTCCCAGATCTGTGTGTGTGGCAAGGGCTCACGGCTACCCATGTTTGGTATCCAGGCACCCAAAGTTGTAGGAAGGCTTCTCATTGTGTTCTAGGAAACAACCTCTGCACAATTCAAAGACAGGACAACTGGGTACAGTATTCTCAATAACTTTTATGGTCATGAAGAATTTGCCATATAAATTTAAGGGGGAATTTCAGACGTCATATTTCATAGTTTCAGAGATGTTAGGGGCTGGAAGGGACCATACAGATGATCGGGTCCAGTCCCCTTGCACTTGGGCAGGAAAGACTGCTGGGATCAGATGACCCCAGCAAGGTGGGCGTCAAGACGTTTTTTGAAGTTTGCCAGGATGGGTGACTGTACTACCTCTGGGGGGAGCCTGTTCCAAACCCTCAGTACTCGACTTGTAATTACATTTTTCCTTATGTCTAGCTTTGATCAGGTTTTGCCCATTATTTCTTGTCCTCCCCTGGGGGGCCTTGGTGAATAGATGCTCCTCCAGGCCCTGATGTACGCCCCTGATATACTTATGGGCTGCCACCAAGTCCCCTCTGAGTCTTCTCTTCTCCAGGCTGAACAGTCCTAAGTCTTTCAGCCTCTTCTCTTAAGACCTAGTCTCTAGGCCTCTAATCATGTGTATGGCCCTCCGCTGGACTCTCTTGAGCTTCTCCACATCCTTCCTGAAGTGTGGCACCCAGAACTGGATGCAGTACTCTAGCTGTGGTCTCACCAGGCCAAGTAGGGCAGGAAGATGACATTCTTAGCCTTGCTTGAGATGCCTAAGTAGATGCGTGCCAGTGTTTGATTAACTCTGCCAGCTACGGCATTGCATTGGTGGCCCATGTTCATTTTGTGGTTAATAAGCTTTATTTCAAATACATTTTCTTGTGATATGTATCTCTGTCTCCTTAGCCTATTGGCTTTTTTGTAGCCATTTTATATTACAACCTAACATCTACTTGCTATTTGCCATTTCTGCTTTCATGTGCCTATGTAAAGTCTATCTTAGAATTAATTCCCAGTTTTGTTGATCCAGCTGGTGCACAATTCACATTATAGTCTTTTGTTTTTGCTATTCTATTTTAAATGATGCCAAATTACATAAACGACATCAATATAATTTTATTACAGCCTTTTTATCCACTGTTCTTTGCCTAATTATAATAAGCCTCTCACTGTAGTATTTAGGCTTTTCATTTTAATCATACTTAATATCTTGTTGGTCACGGGTATGACCGTAAACCGCATCTGACTGGAGGACTGGGTGGCAACATGGTGGGGGTAGCTCCTATAAAATACCGCAGTGTTGCAGCCTCCAGTGTAAGACAAGTATACGACACCTGAAACCCCTAGCCGCCAGTGCCTTGTGGGTACTTCTTGATTGGAGAAAAGCTAAGGGATATCATCCTGACAGAAATGTGCCCTTGCTGAGGGAGTCAGCAACAGCTCTAATCTGTTGCTTTCTGGCAGAAGCTACAACCATCAAGGCACTGAAAATCCAGACTCAGTCTGGCCTTTGGATTCTGTCTGGATGATCTAGAGGAGGGCTGGTAGATCTAGGGAAGCCTCCACTCTATATTCTTGCCTAGATGTACGCTCTGAAGATCTTGGTGTAATGGTTGCATAGACTGCTTACATGTATACCGTGATCCAGTAGATTGACATTTGTCAAGAAATACGTTGTCCTGTCTGCCATGCTATTTGCTAACACCTTTTTCTTTTCAAAGGGCCAGAACTAAAATAGTATATTCCATGTATAGTCGAAAGCCAGCAAAAGAAGTGAAGGAAGGGTTGTTAAAACTGGGAGTCAGTTATTACGTTCTGGAAGAGTCATGGTGCATAAGAAGAGCTAAGTGAGTATATCAGCAGGGCTGTCCCTGGGCGGGGGCAACCCCCCCCAGGCCCCGTGCTTTGTGGGCCTGGGCAGAGTGGCCACAGCGACTACACGCTGCCGCCAGCTTCATGTCCGGCTGCTCAGCCCCTCCCCGCACCCCCGCCAAATCTGCCATTGGCTTCCTCGCGTCCAGGGGTGGGGTCCTGCACAGGCTGATTTGTCCCGGGCCCCACACTCTGCTTGGGTCGTCTCTGTATATCAGTATACTTTATAACATCTAAATTAAGATAACCTACATCTTATCTTCAAAGTGTCAAGTTGATGATAGAATTATGGTACTCATCAGAATAGGTACTTTTTGATTGTACATTAAACTTGAAATGTGTGAAGTGCTTGATTTAATATAAAACAGACCCTCAACCTACATGAATACCTTTGTACTGGGTGAACCAAAAACAATGAGACTTTTTTTTCTGGGAAAATTTTCTGAGACATTTTTGCCAGTGGGGGGGGAGTGAATGGGGTAGATGCCCTGGGCTTTGAGTTAGAGGGAAGGCAGCCATCACAGCAAATATCTGTATTTAGTGTTGTGGCACCAGACTTCCTAGGAATGTTTCTGAATGTATTGTAGGAGACTACCTCTATACAATTCAAATGTTAAATTCTGTGTAAATCAGGAAGAGTTCATAACCCTAGTTTTTTTGTAGGTCAGTTGCATTTAACCCCTTTGTAAACTTTAATTACACGTACTTGATTATATTTCTTTACTGTTACATTATTTTTGTTTATATATTCAAATATTTTCTAGGCCTGGTTGCAGCATGCCTGAAATTTGGGATGTGGAAGATCCTGTCAATGTTGGAAAAATTCCCTTATGTAACATGATGAGTAAAGATCCCAGGCCATATTTCATCACAGTATTCCACAACAGTGTTTATAGAGTGTTGAAGATAATAAAGGACTAACTTCTGTTCAGAAAACTGTCTCAACCTTTTAAGCTGGTAACTTTATAAAAATCCTTGTTAGAAACGTCTTTTATACTAGACTCAAAATGAGAAGATCTGTGTTCTTTCTTTTACCTCTTTAAACAAATTTTGATTTTAGAAGTGCTCAAACCTGACAGTGTGGGTTTCTGTTTTAGGGTTAGTCCCTCACAATTTGCTATGCAAATGATTATACACTCTTTACTTAAAACTGATCCAAAAAAAGTTTTAAATGACTGTAGAAAGCAACTACAGCTCTCAAAACCAATGAATTTGTGAAACAAGGCTGTCAGTATGTCTCAGCAAAGCAAGCTTATTTAAAATACTGGTGCTAAGGGATGGTGCTATAGCATCAAGATTTTCCCATCACAGAATAATGTTAACCACCCCAGTCTTCCTTTTGGATAACATGATACTGATCACATATTTCCAAAGGAGTGACATCAATTCATTAGCCATGCCTATATGAAGGAATTTTTCTTTTCTTTTTAGAGAAGCTCAAATAGGTCTCTGCCAGTCCTGGATCCCTTTTAAAAACATGTCATGATTTAAACTTGCCTTCTAAGGGAAAGGTTTTTAAACAATGTTTAAACATTATCATTTAGGTGTACACAATACATATACTTGGACTGGAACCTTAACTTGGATATTATTTTAAAAAGTTAGACTATTAAGAGGAATATTCACACCTGAGGAATAGTTTAGCATCTTGCTGTCTGAGAATTTTTAGCATCCATGTTCATTTAAAATAACCAGATAAACTTATGAAGTTTTATATGGAAAGGGGGGAATATTCAGGAAAAATCTATCATTTATATTTGTATAGCCTTATTAAAGTACTAGAATAAACCCTAAACTGCCTTAACGAGAACTACAGACTAACGTAGTATCAAAAAAAAATCTTTCCTAGCTCATGTCATATTTTCTTCCCAGTGATGTAAGCCCTCTTTGATTTTTCTTATATATTGTTCATCTAGTTTCATTAAAATAATGATTTTGTGTTAAAATTGCTGGGAAAAAATCCTTTAAACAATAGTGAAGAAAACTTTGTAATAAAATTAACTTGATTGTGGTATGAGCATGGTCAGAAATTATGTAAATATAATCATTACAACAAATGTTTAAATATACTCTGTTTGAATTGTCTTACCAGGTAGTGTATAGTTATTCTTCCTGCTGCTGATACTTTTGTCATCTGAATGTGGCCCTGACTTTGTAGATGGACAGGGCTCTAATTTCCCAGAAGTCTTCACTTCCCTTTATTTCAGCAAGAAATTTATAAAGGCGATTAGCACATATATAAGTTCTATGTGTTGTTACTGCCCCTGGAAAGCATTGCAGTAATCTTAGTTTATAATATTTGATAGCTTATTTGAATGCCATAAGTGTTTTTATTTTTTCTGCTCAGTCAGCAGCTAAATTACAGGACAGTGATCTAGGTGCCTGTACTGCATATTCAGCCTTGACTGCACCTTAGTGGTAGTGGATGGTGCAGAAATAAAAATCTACAGCTGTGACAGTAGTAATAGAATGTGAACATATGTTTAAAAAAAGTTTGAAGAGAACTGTTCACTATAATAAGTATTTGCCAGTTTTAATATCTGCCTCCTTGTCAGGGTGAAGGTGAAGAGTTGAAAATACATATGTTAACTTTTTTAACTTTTACAAAAAAGACTTTAAAGTTTCTATAAGGAAACTATCACATTAAAGGGCTTGGAGGAAGTAACATTTTTAAAAGTTCTTGAGATGCAAGAAAGTGGTAAAAGGATATCTTTATATAACATTGTGACTAAACAGTGTTATAGCACAAATAAATACTGTATTTTTATGGAGTTTATGCCAATTGGTGATGTATTTATATGTGGTTAAATAAAAAAAATAATTGAAAGTGTGTTCATATTTTTACTGTACATAGGTTACTACAAATATGTTATGATTATCACGACGGATATGACATTTCTAGATCAGTGGTGCTCAACCTTTTGGGCCTATGGGCTGGATGAATGGTACAAGGCTAGTGTGCACACCAGGGTCGGGCCTTGCACCACCTCTGATGGGTCTCATGTTCCCAATCTAGCATGCAAGGCCACACTGTTTGGCCTCCAGGGGTTCTAAAATTTGGCAGCAGAGGAGTGACAGTGCAGCTGCGCTCTTCCACCACCACATTTTTGGACTCATGGGGATCCCTGCAGGCTGAATAACATGATTCCAAGGGCCGGATCAGACATGCTGGCCTGGGGTTGAGAACTTATTTTTCTAGAGAATACCTAAATATATTTTTAAATGTTCATCTAACGTGTGCTTAAACAGAATTGTTAGAAGCTATGGGGGATCATAATTGTGAAATGGTGATTTGAGGCATACCAAAATCCTAATAATCAGAGGTGGTAAGATATTTTAGCAGATACTATATTCAGTTTTGTTACATGGGGCCTGATAATGTAGATGCGAAACAGTCTTGAGCCCAGTGTAAAATGTTTGGTTTGCTTTTGTGGAAATTTGTTCCTAAACCCTAAGGTTCAGTCAGTTTGTTTATCGATGCTTGTGCTCAACTTTCAAAGAAACATTTTAGAAAACGTAGTCTTCAGAAATTCTGTACATTTCAGTAAAAGACCCTACTCATTTGGTAATGGCAATTGTAGATGTCAATGAGTGTATTCCCAGGCATTATTTTTATTGAGGTATACTTTTCTTTGAAAGTGAACAGAGATGTACGTTTTCTGGAAATTTTTCCAATGCCCTTAATAGTGTGTGATCTGATTTAGCATGTTTATTTTACTTATGTTTAGTAAACAAAGCTAAAAATTACCCCCATGTTAATTTTATGTCCCAATAGCCACAATTGTATGAACGGAAATATTTGATCAGGAACAAAATTAAATACAGCACATTTAATGTGGTTTAAATGTTATAGTCAAACAAATTTAAAGCTTTATGTGGAAATAAATTATTTTTCTTGGAATACTTGTAAAAATCTGGAAAAAAAAATGTGAAGACCGTACACAATAGCATGTACTTCCCTTACATTGTTTGTTTAAATTTAAGGAAAAAACACGAAGGCACTAAAAACTGTTGACACTAATTTTAGCACCCAAAGAACTGTGCATGATATGCCATGGTTGTCCACTCATCTATTTCAACAGAGCTTAACTCTTCCACTGATGTCATTGCGGCACCTCCAGTTTCACTGTCACTATCTGTAGAATCACTTGCACTACTTATTAGTTCCAGGCTACAGGGTTGGGTGGAAGAGAACAGAATGGGTTTCAACACTGACAATTGCAGGGTACTGCACCTGGGGAAGAAGAACCAGCAGCAGACCTACATGCTGGGGAACTCCCTTCTCATCAGTGCAGAGGCAGAGAAGGATCTAGGAGTCATTATTGAGGCCAATATGAACATGGGCTGACAATGTGGGGATGCTGTCAGGAAGGTCAACCGCACCTTGTCATGCATCCACAGATGCATCTCAAGCAGGTCCAAGGAGGTGATCTCTATGGCCCTTGCTATTTACATTTAAAATCATATCCTGCCTTGCCTAATTTTCTTACAGTCTATGACAACTTTCATCACAGCAAGTTTCTCAGCAATGCCTCTCTCAATCAAACGAACACAAGCTGGCAGAGGACTAGATATCCGACACAAGCTGGATATCAGACTAGATATCAGGAGGCGCTACTTCACTGTCAGGGTGACTAGGAGCTGGAACCAACTTCCAAGAGAAGTGGTGCTGGCTCCTACCCTGGGGGTCTTTAAAAGGAGGCTGGATGAACATTTGACCCCAGTACCCTTTCCTGCCACAGCAGGGGTTCAGATTTGATGATCTGTTCAGGTCCCTTCTGACCCTACCAACTATGAAACTATTTCAGAATCAGATTCTGAAATAGAATCAGAATCAAATGAAAAGTAATCACAGTTTTAGTTTTGGTTTTGCTTTCACTTGCAGTCTGAGATGAAATAAGAATTTTAGCTTTGGTTTTGATTTGACCTGCACAGCCGATTAGGTGAATTCATAACCTGATTTTTGGTTTGGATTATTATGTGAGTGTATTTACTCTCCTGTTTACAATCAATAAAATATATATGCGTGCGCTCTCTGTTTCTCTCACTTCCTAGGGATAATCACCTGAAAAACATTAATGACTACTTTGAAACTGCCGAGCTTGCCTAATATTGTATTGTTATCCATTCATTGTTACTAATGAATTTTATGAAACAATAAATTTTTAGAAATGGAAAATTTCCCATGGAAAAATTAAAGCACTGGAAAATGTTCTGTCCCACATCTCTGAAAGTGAATGGTCTCTGAAAGTAAATTTGCCCATCATATAAATTATGGTCACATTACTACTTATCACATTCTCTCTTAGACAGAGTTCAAACAATGGTTATTCAAAGGATTGGTCAAGCACAATCACTGACTGATGTCAGATGGATGGACTGCTATACAAGGAAATCCTTTATTAAACTACCTTCTCTCTTTGGCCTTTCTGGAAACAACGATTTCAAACCTGAATAAATTATTTTAATCTAACACCTAAACCTTTTACACTAATACTGGATTCATAATGGAAAAATAAGGATGTGATACTGTGGGAAAAATCTATAGAGATAAACATCCATGACATGAGAATATATATCATTTTGTAGAATCCTATTACAGCATGAGTGTCCATTTCTGAATGAAACCTATGTTCAGGAGCTTTGTTGGGGTCTTGGAATTTGATTCTTAATTACAGAGTGGCCCTGGCAATGGCTTGGCACTTACCACGGGGCTTTAAGGCAGATGTAAAATAATAAATAGGCACTTCAAGCCTTCTGGGTATTGCTGGAGTGTGGTATAAAGGTCTCAGTATAGTTAAGAATTCTTGGTTCCTGGTCAGCTACAATTCTTGTAGCTTTTTTAAACACCCACAAGTTAGTTAAATTTTTAATCAAGTGGGTTTAGGTTCAGTATTACTGACCCAACGTGAAGTATTGCTGATTTTGACCATGTGATTGAGATTATTTGTTCTGTTCTTCAATTTTGAAAGCAAGGGATTTAGGAGGAAACCATAGACCAATCCTGTTGAACACCAGTAGTGACAATGCTTATAGTAGTTCCACCAGTTTTAATGAGCAGTTTTATGCACAAAAATGCAGAATTGAGGCTATTCCAATCATTATTCAGTTAGGTAATCATTTCATATCATTATGTCAAAAGTATTTGCGTGTGTGCACTCTGTATGGTGCTCTGGAGTAAAGTGCACACATTCATGTATGTGTGTCTTACAGTTATTGAGTCTCCGGTAAATAAAAATGTCTTGCACGTTGCGGATTTAACCGCCTTATCTTGCAAGGTACAGAATACTTTTTATGCAAGTCGTTGGAAGCTGAGAGCTTTCCCTGCCTTGGAGAACTCTTGTTCAGTTTGTATTGACAGAAGCAGTGTCTGCAGTTGTTAAAGTAAAATGATTCATTTAAATGTAAAGCCTTTTCTGTTCCTTGCAAGCAAACTACTGAAGCATTATGAATATAATCAAATTATAAACAAATTTATCCTGATATTTAAATCTGCACCCTTTTGAGATGCTAACAGCCATTTTCATTTAGTTACATGTGCTGTCCCCTGATGCATCTAATAAACAGCCATCTGTGCTATACTGATGCATCAAGGAAGTGTATGCTGAAGGAAGAAAGAAAAATAATTCCTTATAGTCTTACATGATTGTTCTACTTTATGGACAACCTGTAGATTTAACTCAGTTTTTCACTGTCCTTTGTAGTATAAAAGAATGTGTTTCCTGCAGTACAGGAAGATTGGATAAATGCACATTATTTGTACCCGTTGTTTAGTCAAAATATTAAATGTCTTGGGCAAGTTGTGTGATAAGTATTGTACAAGAAATGTTGGGTTTCACTCAGCTTTATTTGATGCAAGAACCATTAGATCACTTACTCTGATCTGTATTACTGGCCGTTACATTTTACCCAGTTACTCCTGAAAAATCCATTTTATAGTTTAGTTTAGAGTAACTAACAAGACGTTATCTTTAATTTTCCTTCCAGGGTCTGATCCATTGCCCTTTTAAAGTCAATAGAAAAACTTCCATTGACATTACAAGAGACCCCTGGAGGCCCCTCCTTGCATTGTGCTGGGCACTGTTGAAAAGTCTACTAAAGAAACAACTGACTTATTCCTTGAATGTGTGGATCCTCTCCTTTTCTACCACCTGAGATATAGGAGATGTCTGGGAATGGTTCTGCCATTTGTGGGACTGTCTGTAGGTCATCATATGACCTATTCTTCGCTTTTATCTTTTTCCTTGTATTTCATGATTTTTTTCAACTATATATATTGATTTAGACCATCCCTCCTATGTTAGATGAAAATTATATTCCATTCATCTTGTAACAATGTTCAATCCATCATTTGTTCTTATGTTGGAATAGATCCTATTTCTGCTTAATAGCACACACTAGTCCATGGCTACTTCAAAGTGATGCAGTCATCTTGGGGAGCAGGGAAGGAGCTACAGTGGTGGGGAGGGAGGAGAATTACATGTGTGTGTCTGTGGCAAAAAAATCAGACTTTAATTTTCTCAATTGAAAAACGTCTTGCTTACCCAGCTGTGTTTTTCTCCCTAAAGAATAGAGCATTATACAGAGTTATTTTGAACACAAAACTTGATATCTAAATAAATTTGAAAATACATCTGCCAGTTTCAAAGGCTCCATCTGAGCAAACAGGCATCTGTTCCTCAACCTGTGCTGTGTTTCAGTTGTAAATGAGCTGCAAGAAATGTGCAAAACAGACAGACCAGCTGTTTGAGTGGATTTATCATTGGGAAGTTCAACAGCTTTGTTACCTCCAATTAGAACATGTAGATGCCAAGAGAT